AGTCATAGCAAAACACATCAACATTCTAAGGCATTAAAAGCCATAACTTTGACGGCGAACCGGCAATTAAGCTTAGCCAATTATACATTTTAAAAGATTCTGTCCATGTCCGTCCGTAAGTATTCTTAATGGCAAGAGAAGGAGAAACCAACGGTCGAATAATAAAAAAAATAAATTCCAAAAAATACTTGCAACTCATGATTTTCAGCTGCTGCGGTTAAAAGACTAAAGTGATTAATGATTTTTATGATTTGTTATTAGCTTTTTTTTTATTTATTCATTTTATATTATATATTAAAAAAAAAATTGAACAAGTTGTTTTTGAGCAATTGGAATTAAAATATAAATGTGCTACGTTTGCAATAGAGCATTGTAGAATTTTATATAAGTACGGTCAGTAGAGATGGTGCTATAGACAATATATCATCTACAAACATATTTTAAAAATATGCGCCTATATCATTTTATGTGTGTTAATATGTCAAGATATTTATTCATATTTAGGAGCTGTGGCGACCCAGTTGGCTGTGCATTTATTGAATTTAAAAAGTAAAATTCAATTTCAAATATTTTTAAGTTTTTTGTTTTGATTGATGAGAACGTTTCGATTTTTCTCTCTGTAAAAAGTTGAATAAAAGTTTATTAACATTAAAAATTTTTAGAGTTTTATTAATTAGCAAGGTGAACAGATCATTGCTAAATTGGTGACCCCGACGTGATCTCGAAAAAGTTTAAATTTAGAAATATTAACTTCTGAGCTAAATATCTAATTATCGAGCTGTGATGTCAGTTGCAGACGAAGGTGTAGTAATGGCTTCTGATAGTGGAAGTGTCGTAAACCGTGTAGCAGTGAAGGTGCCACCGTTTTGGCACGAGCGACCGGAGATTTGGTTTGCTCAGATCGAGGCGCAATTTGCAGTAGCTGCCATTACGAGTGACATCACACAGTTCAACACGGTAGTAGCAGCGATTGAGTCAAGTGTTATCGCCGATGTAAGTGATGCAGTGCTTCATCCTCCTGAAACTGGAAGATACGCTAATTTAAAGGCTTGCATCATAGAGCGGTACAGTGAGAGCGAGCAGCGGAAGATTCAACGGTTGTTGTCAGAAGTTGAACTTGGTGATAGACGCCCAACACAGTTGCTAACGGAGTTGACAGCGTTAGCTAAAGACAAGGTGAGCGATGAGTTCCTTAAGTCTCTTTGGCTGAAGCGTTTGCCACCACAAGTGCGCGCTATTCTGCAGACATCGAACGTGGCACTAGCAGAACTGGCGAAATTAGCAGACCGTATTTGCGAGGCGGGTGATTTTCAACAGATAGCTGTAGCGTCAGCCTCTGATTGTCCAGCCTATTCTGAGAATGCTGTGATTTTACGAAGGCTTGAGCAAATCGAACAGCGTCTGAGTCGTTTGGATTTACGTCGTAGTGAGTCGGTGCAAAGTCGATCGTCATCGAGGAGACGTAGGCGAACTCGTTCCCGACCAGGAAGTCATCCAGATTGGTGCTGGTATCACGAAAGGTTTGGTGATAGAGCTAATGCTTGTCGGCAGCCCTGTAGTTTTGTGGCAGGCTCTCATCAGTCAAAAAACTAGGCACTCCTTCTACGTCGTCGAGCCGAGAAGGGGTTAGTGTTCGTATAGCTCGACTTAGTATTAAAGATCCCGCCACGTCGACCGTTTTTCTCATTGATACTGGTGCGGACATATCAGTTTTACCGAAGTCGTTCTGTCGTTGGAAGCAAAGGGCTAACAGTGTTGCATCAGTTAATTTATATGCCGCTAATGGTACGCCTATTCAAACATTTGGCGAGCGTCGACTGCTTTTGTCTTTGGGTTTGCGTAGACATTTCCCGTGGACGTTCGTGATTGCGGATGTTAGCTGTCCTATTGTTGGAGCCGACTTCCTTAATCACTATGACTTGTTAGTGGATTTGAAAAGGAAGCGGTTAGTTGATTCGAAGACGACTTTGATGATGAAGGGTAAGGCTGCTGTGTCTCAAGAAGATACTGTGCGTGTGTGTGGTTCAGTTTCAGCTTATGCTGAGCTGGTTAATGAATACCGTGATTTAGGCATTATGAGTGCAAATCGGATGGGTTTAGTTACTAAGGTTGAACATTGCATCGAGACATTTGGTGCGCCGTCATTTGCTCGTCCCCGACGTTTAGTTGGAGCCAAACTTGAAGAAGCCAAGAAGGAATTCCAATTTTTAGTTCAGACAGGGATTTGTCAACCTTCGAAAAGCTGTTGGGCAAGTCCACTTCACATGGTTCGCAAAGGCGATGGAAGTTGGAGACCGTGTGGCGATTATCGCATGCTCAACGCGCAAACTAAACCTGATCGGTATCCGATTCCGTTCATTCATGATGTGACGAGTATTCTTCATGGTAAAACTATGTTTTCGAAGATAGATTTGCAGAAAGCGTATCATCAGATACCGCTTGCACTGGCAGACATTCCGAAGACAGCTATTACAACTCCGTTTGGCCTGTTCGAGTTTCGCTTTATGACTTTCGGTCTCCGTAATGCTGCCCAGACGTTTCAGCGTTTTATGAATGAGACTCTAGGTGATCTTAATTTCGTTTTTGCGTACATCGACGATATTTTAATTGCGTCAAAAGATGAAGCAGAACATAGAATGCATTTGCGACTGGTTTTAGATCGACTTAGAGAAACTGGTTTGACCGTGAATTTTGCCAAGTGTAAGTTCGGCTGTTCCGAGATCGAGTTCCTTGGGCACGTTATTAGTGCAAAGGGTTTACGTCCTCCGGAGAGTAAAGTTCAAGCTGTTCGTGATTTTCCTCTGCCAGCAACGGTGAAACAGCTTAGACAATTCTTAGGCATGGTGAACTTTTATCGGCCGTTTCTGCGTAACGCTGTGCAGAATCAGCAGCGGTTGTTTCATCTTACACCAGGTAACCGCAAGAATGATAAGTCGGTGATTTCTTGGACTCCAGATGATATAGAGGTTTTTGAGGCTTGCAAGAAGGATCTTGCCCAAGCTACGTTGCTTAACTTCATGGCTCTGGATGCACAATTGACGCTCACGACTGATGCTTCAGACGTTGCGGTGGGTGCTGTTCTCCAACAGGTAGTGAAAGGTGTGACTCAGCCATTGGCATTTTATTCAAAAGGTTTGAGTCCAGCGCAGACTAAGTATAGTGCTTATGATCGTGAGTTGACTGCTATCTATCAAGCTGTCCAGCATTTTAAGTATGCATTAGAGGGACGTGATTTCGTCATTTTTACGGATCACAAACCTTTAACGTTTGCGTTCAGGCAAATAAGTGAGAAGGCATCTCCTCGTCGTGCAAGACAGCTGGAGTTTATTAGTCAGTATTGCACTGATATTCGTCATCTGGCTGGTGCAGATAATACGGTGGCTGACTCTTTGTCTCGGGTTGCTACGGTTCAGTTGGAGGCAAATGTTATTGAGTTAATTGCTGAGGGGCAGAAGACTGATGCAGAGTTGCTCGCTCAGCTGAAGAGCCAGTCTGAAGATGGTGTTGGGTTGAAGAAGTTGAGATTGCCGGATTCGAGTATTGAACTGTACTGTGATGTGTCAGGCAGTCGTGTTCGTCCTTTTGTTCCCGCAATCTGTCGGCAGCTGGTACTCTCAAAACTCCACGGTTTGGCTCATCCTGGTATTCGAGCAACGCGGAAATTGGTGCAGGCTAGGTATGTTTGGCTTGGTTTGGTTAAGGATGTAGCTGTGTTTGTGCGTAGTTGCATTGCGTGTCAGAAGTCCAAGATTCAGCGGCATACTAAAACACCAATTGGTTCGTTTGCTGATATTGATAGTCGGTTCCAGCATGTTCATGTTGACATTGTGGGTCCATTGCCTTTGTCTCAGGGGAAGCGTTATTGTTTGACTTGCGTCGATCGTTTTTCTCGGTGGCCTGTTGCTGTGCCTCTGTCGGGCATTACGGCAGAAGAAGTTGCAGCGGCTTTTATCGACGGTTGGGTGGCAAGTTTTGGTTCTCCGCAGGCTATTACCACTGATTTGGGTCGGCAGTTTGAGTCTGCTGTATTTCGGGAACTGACGAGATTGCTTGGAGTGAAACACTTTCATACCACGGCTTATCATCCTCAAGCAAATGGCATGGTTGAACGTTTCCATAGAACATTGAAGGCAGCCATTCGATGTCATTCCTCAAGTAATTGGACGCAGTCTCTTCCGCTTGTGTTGTTGGGATTGCGAACGACACCGAAACTAGACCTAAATGCTAGTCCTTCAGAGATGTTGTTTGGAAATCCTCTTTGTGTTCCAGGGCAGATGCTTTCGGATTTCAAGCAGAAGTCGTCCGAGACTGATTTTGTGTCGGCGTTGCGAAGGGCTTTAGCTAAGGTTAAATCCGTTGAATCAACAAGACATTGTCATCCATCTGTGTATGTTCCGCGTGACGTTATTAATTGTAAGCACGTGACTGTTTCGAAGGATAGGTTGAAGGCGGCGTACTTAACGTGTGATGATCTTGAACAGGTTGTTCCAGAAACGCGTCAGCCTTCAGCGCTGTTGAATGGTGATCAGTTAGTGACTTCTGGTGATTGTAGGCGTGAATCCCTGTTGCCGATTCCGAAAGTGACACGAGCTGGTAGAGTAGTGCGTTTCCCAGCAAGGTTAGCGGAATTTCGTGATTAAGAGTGGTGTTGTCGACTTAGTTGTGGTGTCGCGTTGTTGCTAGTACTCCATCGCTAGGAGGGGGTACTGTGGCGACCCAGTTGGCTGTGCATTTATTGAATTTAAAAAGTAAAATTCAATTTCAAATATTTTTAAGTTTTTGTTTTGATTGATGAGAACGTTTCGATTTTTCTCTCTGTAAAAAGTTGAATAAAAGTTTATTAACATTGAAAATTTTTAGAGTTTTATTAATTAGCAAGGTGAACAGATCATTGCTAAAATAGTATTTTTGAAACTAAATAAAAATATTTTTATATTAATTAAATTTAATTAACTATTAATGAAAAAGTGAATTATTTAAAAATTTAAGTATATATTTGTATATACCACTAAACAGGTATATAAGCATTATTTAAGCTCAAGTGGATTTTGGACTGTCATTTCAATCTAACTTAACGTATGTAATTATTTTATCTGCGATTATGGTTTTCTCATTTGATATACAGAAAAAATTGATGGAATTAAAACATGCTTAAAACCATCACATATCATACATTGCTTGTAATCCTAGGAGCTTTGAAACAGACTGCTTTTCCATTTCGTATACTAACTTCATTTAAAGGAAAAGTAATACAAAGAAAAAATATTGTGGTCTTAAAACAATAGTCATCATATAAACATCACTTATTCACACAATAACAGAAACTTTTAAAATTACTATACAAGGAACTATTGAATAGGAAAATATCAACTATAGTAAGGAGTTTTGTATAATCTTTGTATTTAACACAGAGAATCTGTTACTGCCTCACCTCTCTCTGATGAAGATTCCATTCTTTAGTGTAAACTATTTGTATAACAAGTGTTATCACTTGTTCAATAAGATGACACCTTATTGATCCCTATTTTTTTGTATCATTTCCCTTTAATTATTAAAAAAATATTAATAACTTTATTACTATTTTGCTGGTTCTAGGTTTAATCTGCCATTGAAATCATTAAAATCATTAGTCCACAACAGTTTATATATGCAACATTACTTTCTACCTCCTCCTTTTGAGCGAACTGATGACCCACCGTAAACTGAAAATATTGTAATGATGTTTTTCATTAAGGTTATAGGTACTTCGTTTTTAATTGACCTACAAAGAGACTAAAAACCGGTCAATTATAATTTTTTAAAACTTTCCATATATATATCTATTTTTTCTAATATATCTTTAAACAAGAAGTAAGAAGTAAACAGCTTTATTTTCCTAGGTTATCAGTAAACAAATTTTAATGTTTAAATCAAAAGTATGTAATCATGATGGCTAATTTTTGAAATTGAAAGAAAGTTTTTCATTAGTACATAACTTTTCTTCTGGTATGTATATGATTGAATGCCTTTGAATATTATATATTGTTCCCATATATATTACTGCATTTATTTCTCACACCAGGTGATTGTTATAGAATAATGAAAAGCATTTAAAATATTTATAATTTTTTTTTTAAATTATTATTATAAAAAGTATATTAATTTCTTTTCCTATTCTAATTTCAGGTGCATTTTGCTAATAGCAGCCCTACCAGAGTGCCACAAATGTTAGATTTTAGGGACCAACACACACCTCAGGAACGTAAGTTATTCATAACAGTTTTTGAATAAAAATTTAGTTTCGTAATAGAAATCAAATTAAAAAATTAATTTTAAATAACTAAAAAAAAACATGTATAATTGTAATTTTTATTAGAATATAATTAATTCAAATTATATAACCTATTTTATATAGACGATTTACTACGTGTTTCTCCAACTGAT